GATTATATTTTATTGTATTGAACAGTCGAAATAATTTATTTTTGATTAAGAAAAGTACTCGATTGAAAGTTACCGGAAAATACGGTTGAAATACAGAAGCGGCGCGGAAGTAGCTCAATTTAAAAAAAATGTAATCGTATCGTATCAGTGACATAATATATTATTATATCGGATCGGATAGTGTAAAAACATTATAACATTTTTATAAGAGATCAATTCTGTTTAATCTTCAATATTGTATTACCTATCAAGTTGATCTCGAGTACACACGGCTGTAAAATTAATTCAGCAACTGTGAATTTCTTATTTTAATAAATACATAATCATGTTTGGTGTACAATTTGTTCGCGAGTTTTAAACAAAATGGCGAATTGAGTGTGCTAAAGCAGTTTTAAACCGGTGTTATATTTACGTAATGTTTTTTAATATGATATCAGTATACAAGGTGTAGTTTTGAAACCGTGACATTTCTCAGGGGCATGTCACAGAAGTCATAAAGGATCAATGTAAGAGAAAGTTTCGGGCCAATAGTTAAAAATACGGCTATAATGAATCGTTTAAGTTCGACAGTATTTCAGAATAAGCGACAGCAATGGTTCTTATTGGAGTTTTATGGAATTAGTAATAATATCAATTACGTGTTTGAGTTTGTGTGTGTTAAGCCTCATTATAAAACTAGTTACAAGACGACGGCGTGTAAGTAGTTCGCACTTACGGATTTCCGTAATTTACAGAAAAATGAAAAATATTTACCTACAATTTTTTTATTGATTCGGATTCTGAATAGATAGCCGAGTTACCTCCTAGAAAATGACGCGGCTTTAAAACAACACCTTGTATAAAAAGTTATTTTTAAAAACGGTAATCAAGTGACGCGCGAACCCTAACCCGGAGCTGCGGACGACCTACAATAGGGTAGTAGTAGACTATATAAAAAGTAAAAATGTAATTAGTCCGTCAGTTAGATAATGAAAAAATATTAGACACGTATTTTTTAATTTTGTCGTATAAGAAAACAATACTTGGATAAAACAGAGTTAAGTTTAGGAGTGGGAGGTCGTTACGTCACGCTACCCTATAAAGGGTGGTGCGGAGAACCTAACGGGTAACCGGGGCTCCGGCTCGACGTGCAGAAGTAACGGGTGATTTTTAGTCAGTAAGAGTCTGACACTCCCTTCCGCCTCACCCAGGCGGGAGCAGTCATTGAGTAAGTCATTGTCGATGTCTTTCCCCCCATAAAAAAAAATGATTACCCAATGTATTCTGGACTAAAAGTCTGACGCCCTCCCGCCTCACCCAGGCGGGAGCAGTCATTCGATAATTTTCCCCCCTTAAAAAAAACCTATAAAATGTAGTAAATAGTGACTTCACACGATATTTCAAATCAATATATCGTCGAAAGTATTTATATTTGTAAGAAAAGAAACAATACGTGTTTAATGTTTTAAAATAATGTACCAGACGGACATTAAAATAAAATTGAGGATACTACCCTGTTACCGTGGCTCCGGTTCGAAGCGGGTGTAAGAACGGGGATGTTAAGCGTCAGCCCCCCTGCACTCCCTCTCGCCCCACCCAAGGCGGGAGAAACCATTGAATATATTCCCCTCAATAAAAGTGGCGCGTTATTTCAAAGTGCAATTGATAATAATACCTCTACATTTATTTCATCCTTTTAGTTTGTTTACTAACAAATTACTAACACTTGATATTTTGTATTATTGTGTAAAGTACTAACAACCATACTAAATTCAATTCAATTTACTTATTTTACAATTTTTTCTTTTATTTTTCTAAAAGTGTATGGAAGTGTATATTATTTAATTTAAACACCGTGAAGTTTATATCGTTTTCGTCCCGCGGCGTACTTTCGATGTATAAAATAAAAGCAAAAAAAAATTAAAGATGTAATTGTTTAACATAACATAACATCACGCCTTTTATCCCCGAAGGGGTAGGCTGAGGTGCACATTATGCCACTGTACAATGTAACACCCACTTTTCACTATTTATGTTATGAGTCCCATGTAATAGGAGGTGAGCCTATTGCCATATACCGGGCACAGTTCCAGACTCCGTGCTACTACTGAGATTAATTTTAAAAACCCAGTAATACTTGGCCCCGAGACCCCTTGCCCGGCAGTCATACTAGCGACCAAGAGGCCAACGAGACAGTCTTTTTAAAAAAATGTAATTTTTACTTTTAAAAAATTTTTCCTGAAAATACGCACATGAAACACTATACGTAAATTTGTGGGCACTATTCGCATCGCACGTGCCACCCTTGAAATACGTCTTCGAGAATTACATGGCGTGATGTTTTGATAGTAATGTACGTACCAACGATGAGTTCGTATGCGCTTTCGAAGTTTGCTTTTTGCAATGGTTCACCAGTTACATTCTGTTTTAACCATTTCATTTCTTTGTAAAACTATTGTATTACCGAGACAGAACCATTTTACTTCGGGACAAAAACGAAATAGATTTCACGGTGTAGACATAAGGTACCTACTTACAATAAAAATAATTCATTAACACTTTACTTACGTATAGTTTGTTCAACATACATTTTTTTTACATTTTACAAGAACTTGCTACTAATTCATTTATGAGACACAAATTCAGGAATTTCGACAAAATAAATATGACAAGTGTACTTACTCTTGAAACCAATCTCAATGTCAATGCACTTTCAATCTAGTAAAATCTCAATAATTATTCAATGTCAACACTATACAACCACAATCGTAGCTGTTACAATAGCATTCAGAGTACGGAATATAAAGCCAAACTCAATACCATTTAGTTCATTCAATATCCACGCATACGGATGCAATGGGCGCTAGTGTTGTAACTCAAGAGTACGAAATTTCACAATACCAATGTCGATCGATCGGAATTGGATTCAAGAGTAAACCCCAAAGTCAACTTTTGTTTTTTCTTTCCGCCGGACTGGAAGGTCAGACAGGTTCATATCGCAATTGGCTAGTTTCCTATGTTTAAAATAAATTGTTTCAACTTTTCAATGCAATAAATAATTAAAAAATAATCATACTCTCATCCATTGATTTAACAATTTACCCACATTTGAATTTTCCTCGCTTATTTTAAGAAAATAAGTATGCTATTTGACGCATAAATATGATGACGTCATAAGTTGCGATCCAATACAAAATTCATAGAATAGTATCGTTTTTGACATTTCAATAAAAGTATTGAATTATGTATTGTGACGTTTTTTAGCATTAAACTCACCACACTTATTTGTTAAAAAATTCTGGAAAGATACTAAAATTAAGTTGGTCATAAAATCAATTAATGAAAGTGTTACGTGGCGCTCTAAGGGTTAACGCTTAGAGCGCCACGTCAGTCACCGGTGCCTGACGCTAGTGGAGGTTTGACTTTCTCCATTTTAAACTTGGCAGTTAAAGTATTAATCTATATAGGTATATAAAAGAAAGTCGTGTTAGTTACACCACTTATAACTCAAGAATGGCAGAATAGATTTGGCTGAAAATTGGTAGGGAGGTAGCTTAGAGCCAGGAGACCGACATGATAGGATACTTTTTAACCAATTTTTTTTTTTACTTTTTACCGAAATCACGAACGGGGACGGGAAAAAATGGGATTACGCGTACGAAGTCGCGGGCAGAAGCTAGTTTTTAATATTTTATTGTATTGTATAGACGAAATAATTTATTTTTGATTAAGGAAAGTGCCCAATTGCCCCACGACCAATAACAAAGTGACATAATATGTAGTTATCTAATAATAAAATAAAAATGTAAAAAAAACATTACATACTCTTAACTTTCTTTTTTTACGACAATTTCTTTTATAAACTTTTTTTATTGGATTACGAATATAAAAAAATATATAACTACATAAATATTTACAACTTAAAATTAACTACCTACAACTAAATTATTCAATAAAAGTAAAAAAAAGAAAACAACAATGTAACACCCACTTTACACTATTTATATTATGAGTCCCATTTATAGGGGGTGAGCCTAATGCCTTATGCCGGGCACACACGCCGTGCTACTAAGAATTTAAAAAAAAACCAGCAATACATTGCCCGACCCGAGACCACTTACTCGGCAGTCGCACTAGCTAGCGACCACTCGACCAACGTGGCAGTCTGTTTGACATTTTGTTTACATTATTAACTTTTTTTTACATCCGTCACTTTGTTATTTATTGGTCACGGGGTAGTATTGAATGGATTGGGATCCTTCATCTTTTTCTATTACACATTCAACTTTATAATATTGACTTAGGGCCGAAACATATAACGGCGTTGCGGAGCCGCGCCGCTAGAATCGACAGTACTGTCACCGCCGATTTAAGCGGCACAGCGCCGCAACGCAGCGCTCGTTCCAGCTTAGCAGAGTAATATCTTCTTATAACAAATAAGCAATAAGTTTTTCACGATGGTCCATGGCAGAGCAAATCTATCCACAATAAAAACTCACGACGAACTGGTTACCCTACCGAACGACAATAAAACGCTCTTTTTCACGACGCCGCAACGCCGCAACGCAAACTGCCGATTTTAGCGTTGCGGCGACGCAACGCGGTCATGTGTTTCGGCCTATAAAGTTGTAAATCTAAATGAATAAATGGGGATGATGACAGGGTATGAAAACTAAAAATATAATTAGTCCGTAAGTTAGGTAATGAAAAAATATTAGACACGTATTTTTTTATTTTGTCGTATAATAAAACAATACTTAGATAAAACGAATCAAAGTTTAGGAGTGGGGGCTAAAACGTCATTTCTTAGTATAAAATGTACTGAGAAGTGACGTCACGCGACATTTCAAATCAATATATCTTCGAAACTATTCGTTTCTGTGAGAAAATAAAAAATACGTGTCTAATGTTTAAATAATCTATCAGACGGACATTAAAATAAAAATTAGTCGTCTACCCTATTTAACAGATTGTAGTCCATAAACTCCTTTATTCTATGATGGTAATAGAAACTATAGTGACATCAACGACCCTCCTTGCTTGCTGTCAATTAGAATTTCTTCTTTAACAATTCGGCTTGTATGAGAGCGCTCTGCCTTTAGCTTTGTCTAATTCTACCTGATGGCTATATCCTTCTATATGTCTATATGCATAGTTTGTCATCACAACCACATTGCAGACTGTGCAGTAATGACCTGATGCGCTGAGCTGTAAAAAAAATATATTAAGAACTATTATCCAGCATTAATACATTGATTAATTAATTTATTTATTTACTAGTGACCCGCCCCGGCTTCACACGGGTGCAATATGCATGTATCATACACAACATGTAACTTAAATAACGCACATCCTAAAAATAGTTTGTTCAGAATCGTTAACTGAATGAATTTATATAATTTTTAGTAGGTATTGGTAATTTTTTATCCCAAAAATAATTAAAACTAGGGAAATTATTGTCATATTAACCCTGTATTGTTAAAACAAATCGAAATGGACCGTAAGTCAAAGCAATAAGACTTTTAAAATGCCAGTTTTATTTGTGTTCATACAAATTCTATTATTAAATACAAAATAAAGAAAAATAAACCTTATGACAAGACCAGTAAGGATGCATATACATGTTAAATTAAAAATTTTGTGTATGTATTATGATTATAACATAATATTCTAATTGGGGTGTTTGAGGGTGTGCGTTAATTACGTTACATGTTGTATATAAACCTTCCGAATCATTCTATCTATTAAAAAAAACCGCATCAAAATCCGTTGCATAGTTTTAAAGATCTAAGCATACATAGGGACAGACAGACGGCGGATAGCTACTTTGTTTTATACTATGTAGTGACACATGCTTTATTGTACACATTTAAGTAGCTTAAAAACAAACAATTCAAGTAAATATACGTACAATGGGCGGTTTTATCACGCAATGGTGATTTCTTCCAGACAACCTTTGGATGGAAATATTTATAAGAAACCAAATATGGGGTAGTTAAGTGTACAATAATAAAAGACAAAATAAAAATACCTACAATAGATATAATATACAAGCAATATAAAAAAAATACATAAACAATATAAAAAATACAATAAACTATGTGTGTGAGTGCGTGTGAGTATGTGTATTTGTGTTGATCGAAGTTGATATATCGTACCGAAAATTTGTTCATACAAAAGTAGTATCTAAGCATCAGAAATAAGGTCTATAATTTAGTAAGCGGTTACCAGTGACTGTTTGGGGATTGAACACTTAACCCTTTGAATACTGTCATAGACACAATTAAAGAACAATAGGTTGTGGTCACCGGTTGCCTCGTTGGCCGAGTGGTCGCAAGTGCGACTGCCGGGCAAGGGGTCTCGGGTTCGATTCCCGGGTCGGGCAAAGTATTACTGGGTTTTTGAAAAATTCTCAGTAGTAGCACGGAGTCTGGAATTGTGCCCGGTATATGGCAATAGGCTCACCCCCTATTACATGGGACTCATAACATAAATAGTGAAAAGTGGGTGTTACATTGTACAGTGGCATAATGTGTACCTCTGCCTACCCCTTCGGGGATAAAAGGCGTGATGTTATGTTATTATGGTCACCGGTGTCCTCGCGGTGTACGACAGTTTAATATGGCATTTATTGTCACGCAAACTAAACAGGTACAAAGAATTTCAATGGATTAAAGATATTTGCCTCAAAATTCGCAAGGTGTCACTTAACACACCCATACATACATAGCAAGTTAAACTGTTAAACATCGAGCGGTTACCGGTGACCGCAACCTATAGTTCTTAAATTGTGTCTATAATGATGGTACTCAAAGGGTTAAAGAAGTCCAGATTGGAATTCTTCTGTTTTTTTTTCTTTTTTTTTTAAACTAATCTCTCTATACCATAATAAATGCTAACATGAAGGGTTTTATTTCAATTAAAACCTGTAGCAGTATCTGATTGAGGTGGTTATAGCTTAACCAGTTGAAATTTGTTGAAATTCATCCCCTAATTTTGTTCATACAAAAGTAGTCTCTAAACACTGGAAATAAGGACTTAAATTGTAGTTAGTGGAGAGCGGTCACCGGTGACCGCTTGAAACCTGTTGCAGTATCTGATTGAGGTGGTTGTAGCTTAAGTATGTATATGAATTTATGGAAGACATGTTTGGATTAAACTGTCAAACACCAAGCGGTCACCGGTGACCGCAACCTATTGTTCTTTAATTGTGTCTATAAATACGGTACTCGACGAGTTAATGGATGGATACGAATATGAATGCAGATATGAATGGGGCCGTCGGTAGAGGGTGCCCTAGACAGACATATACTGACAAAATTGGCAAAATATTACAGAAGGACCAAATTAATAGTACCCTTAACTCTGTGAGTACCGTCATTATAGACACAATTAAAGAACAATAGGTTGTGGTCACCGGTGTCCTTGCGGTGTTTGACAGTTTAACCGACGAGCATGCATGAAAAGACTGATGACTGTTGATAAAGCGAAAGAGGTATGTAGGAATCACAGCAATTTGCCTTCCATAGTCTCTGCCTGTCCACATGGGAGACAGGCGTGAAGTTATGTATGTATGTATGTTTTTGAATTAATAAACAACTCCTAAAAACCTCTAGCATCATAGCAAAGTGTACATATGTATGGAGGAATGATACTCCATGGTCAGGTTCTCTTTTTACAATCAGTTTCACAATAAAATTCAGTAAAAGTGCAGTGTAGATAATGACATGAATATTATACTCGAAAAAAAACATGTTTTAATAGTTTTAATGCATCAAGCCTTCACTTTTGATATCAATAATGGAGGTAGTTGTGGAACAAATGATAATATTTCATGGTTACAAGAGTGTGTACCAAATATCAAATCGATCTGCCGTCAGGAAAGGGGTAAAATTCCAATTACAAAAGAGCTATACATACAAACAAACAAATGGACTAAAGAAACCTGTATAATAATTATAAAACAAAACAAACCTTTCTAAGTAGATTCTCTTTGAATTCGTCAATGTGTGGGTAGCCTTCGAGAATCTTTCGATGATTTTCAGACGCTTTGTGTCTTTCTTTACAAATCACGTCTCTTGCCATTTCTGTCTCACAAAACACACATCTATACAGCTCCCCTGCCGTTAGAATTCCGTGGTAAGTATCAGAAGACACGACGAGCTTTTTCCCATCTTTCAAAGTCACTATTAAAAAATTCTGTGGTTCATTATAAACCGCTGTCTTAGACTTCTCGTTGAATTTTAAGTTTTTTGGTTGTCTCAACGCCGGATACGACATCGTGTATACGATAGATGTTACTTATTTTTTATGAAATTCACAAAATAAATCAGATTTGTAAGTATAAACTTACATCGGCAAAATAAAATTCGCAACTACAGGTTGAGGTAGGTAGAAAAATTGAAATAAGCCGCCACTAGTGTTGCGCCATGCAGTTTAGTATTTTAATTATTTTAACAGTACTTCAAATTGTGATATTTTGGGAATTCAAATCGATTACACATGTAAATCGAATAAAATGTCAGTTTGTTGAAAAATTATGGACTACATACTTTAAAAAAATAATCATATTTCCTCTTTCATGTGCAGTAAAGAAAAACTGCTTCATTTGATCGTAATGGCTCTAACGCAATGACTTTTACATAACAGGATCATATTTGCAAACACGTATAATCTAAAATAGTTACATAATTCAACTTTAATAATACACTCGTGGGATAAAACTGCTTTAGCGTCGTTTCAAATTCGCCTTATCACAAGAATAAATGTTATTTTACTACTATTGCACTTTTTATGTGCTCACGTTCTTATCGAAAATTTAAAAGGTTTACTAACAAGCCATAATAAGTTACTAGTTACAAATCTAAGATGTACAATGTGATTGCATACTATTTCTGTGAGTATCGCAGCTAGAATTACTTTCCTTATTTAACATTTATTTTATACAACATTGAAGATGTGTTTGCCATATTAGTCGAATGTGACTAATGAACAGTGAGTTTAAGTCTCAGGTTTCTTCTTAAGTGTTATTGTGGTTTTTTGAATATTAGAAAATTTCTCAGTTTTTATCGACTGCGAAATTGTGTCTGAGTCTGATATGGCTATAGACTCGATTAGATAGAAATTATAACTCATGGATAGCGGGTGTAGGTGGCAAGTGCCTAGGGCACTAGGGACGACGTGAGACTTGTGTACCCAACTGCCCATAAAGTAATGGGTCCTCCAAAAACAAAATAGGAGCGCCTACGATGTGCTGGCCGAGGGCAATCTCTACCTCGCCTCTGCCATGTTTATATTTTAAATCCGATCATTGATTACTTTTTTTTTTCCTAATGCACTGTATTTCTGACATTCAGCATTACTTTTGGTGTTTGTTTAAGTGGCATGGGAGATATATGTCCAGCGACATATTCTCATAATTTATTGATTAGAGCAGGTCCTGTGGTACTCGTAATTTTAGTCTGCGAACTCCTGGAAATATGTTTCCATCCATAAGATGTTGCGCGAGTATGTTTGGGTGTTTTCTTAATCTTTCCTTGTAACTTTTTGCTATAATTTTTTTTTTTAATTAAAAAAATTAAAGATTGATTAAGTACTTAATACAAGTAAAGTTATTTTGGATTGATTATTAGTCCCCAGCTCAGGCCAGGCCCACATGAAAATAGACATCAGTAATCCAAAATAAGTAATATTAGAAATGCGAAATAAGTTGTTGCCTACTAAGTTTGTCTGTCAGTTACCCATTTACGCCTTATCAACTCAATTAATGTACTATATAAAAATAAGTCGGGTTTTCCTCCCTGACGCTATAATTCCAGAACCCACGAACCGATTTCTACGGTCTTGCATTCGTTGGAAAGGTCTCGGGCTCCGTGAGGTTTATAGAAAAGAAAATTCAAGAAAAAAGTTTTCTTCATCTTTTAATCACCAAACGAAATGTCACATCAAACGAAGCCATCTGGTGGCGAAACGGAGTTCGCCGGGTTTGCTAGTCTCTTATATTTTTGCAAACATGTTACACATAATGTGTTTGTTTGCAAAAATGTTTTTCACCGAGAAAGCCATAATGCTTTTCATTAAAAGCTAGTATTATATATAAATGTATTTCTTTACAGTTGTTGTTTACATTTGTAACTCGAAAATGTCTGCAATCCCAATACCACGGAAGACGTCAAGCGAAACATACGACGTTGATGGATTTATCGATCAACTGCTCGCATCTCGAAAATTCGATGAACTTACCGAAGTGTTCGCCGACAAAACTGCATATAAAATAAAAAATCTAGATAATCCACCAACCACTAGAACAGATATCGAAAGGATAAGATGGAGTAAAAAATCCCACAAAAATACCGACAAAGAACAATTTAAAGATGATCACACACAGACCGAGTTAATCAGCATTAAATTACGTGATGACGACACGCACAGTAAGGAAAGTCGAAAGCGAAAACCTATAATATCCCTCAAGGATGGTGAGGTATCACCTAATGAAAATTTAAGACTTAAATACAAATATCTAACAAAAAACGCAAAGACAAAAAATTCCACAGACCACAATAGAGTTATGATTCTTGAGAAGAAAGATAACAATGAGGAACACGCGTTAAATGATAATGAAAATGATGATCTTAAAGAAGAAGCTAAAAATGAAGATCAAAATGATTCAAATGGAAGCCACGAGAAGCATGAACAGTATCACAATGACAGAGATGGTGATTTACATTATAAAAATGCTAAAATCGATCACGTAAGGGATAAAGAGGACCACAAATATGAACATAGTTTCCAAGAAGATCTGAACAAATCTGAGAATTTTCATTTACAAATGGATGACAATGCAAAAGATGGAACTCACCCAAACGAAGAACACACAGACCGTGTCAGACCAGAATTTAAAATTAAAGCTTACAGCGTGGAACATGAGCACGCACATAATACATCAGACGAAATAAGTGAAGAGAACTTTCAAGGTGTCGCTTCAGACGAGAAAAGTCATGAAGAAATCGATCATAGAAAGGAGGTGACTCTAGTAAGAGAACCTACAACCACGAGCTTTAAAGTGGAAGCGGTCACCAATGTTACAAATAGCACCATACAAAAAGATCATACTAATGATGACATGATCGGCACTGCACATTTTAGAGCTCAGGTTTCAGAAGAACAAGTTCAGGCGAAGAGTGAAGAAAAAGAAAGACGAATTAGAAATTTACCTGACAGTGAATTGAAGAAATTACTAAAACAACATCCAACAGATAAAGAAATGCGAACATTAAATGATAAGCTCGAGTTCACACAAGTTAAGCAAGATAGTGAAAAACCAGGAGAAACAGAAAGAAATCAGAAAGACAAACTAGAAAAGGAAAAAAGAGAACGTGAGGTGTTAGAAAAAATTCTAAAAGATAGGTTAGAGGAAGAAGAAAGATTGCGAAATGCAGCAGTAATTTATGAAAGAAGCGAAAGAGAACAGCGTGCCTTATTTGGTATTCCTGAGAACGAGGAAAGCGTAGAGGAAATACCAAGCGACCATGTAATAATGGGAGATGATATCAACATAAATGAGAAACCTAGACACATATTAGAAAAGGAGATCCAAGAGGAATCAAAGAGACAGGAAAAACAGCACGCTGAGTGGGCGAAAAAAGTGGAAAAAGAATTGGAAGAACATAAAGAGAACATGAAAAAGGAATCAGATAAATATCACAAAGAGGAACAAGAGAGGTTAAACAAAGTTCTAAAAGATAAAGAGAAATATGAAGCAGAAATGGCAGAATCATCAAAAGCATATGTAGCAGCAAACCTTGAGCAAGCAAATAAAGTTTTAAAAGAAAAAGCGAAGAATGACGAAATGATGAAAGAGGAATCAGATAACCACGAAAAGCATCAATATGACAGGTTAAAGGAACTCTTAAAAGAAAAGGCTAAACATGAAGAAGAAATGAAGCAAGAATCAATGTTATTGGCAAAACAGGCAAAAGAGAGGTTAGCAAAATTATTAGGACCAAAAAAGACATTTATTGAGAAAGTCATTGATAAAAAAAAGGAATTGGAAAATAAAATAAAAGGAATGAACATGAAACCCATGAAAGCAAAGAAAAAAGGACCTGAGAAAGGCACAAAAAAAGAATCTATGAATGATAAAAAAGAAGAATCTAAAAAGATAAGAAAAAAGAGCCCAAAAAAGAAAAGAAAAATGAGTCTACAAAGGAGAAAAAGAAAGCAAAAGAATTCGATTATTCAGATTACAGAGCTGAGGAAGAACAGATAAATACTAAAGAAAAACAAAGACAATACAGAGACCAGAAAGAATATGAGAACAAGTTAGAAAGAAAAATAAACGAAGACGATGAAAGCTCAATAGAATCAGAATCAGAAGTGGACAAGCAAACCGAGCTGCAAGCAATACCAGGAAGCAAGCCATCTTTCAACAAAGTTAACATTAAACCATATAAGAATATAGAAGACGAATATAATAACCGCATAGCGGAGAGCGAGTCAGCTGCAAACGATGATGATCAGTCATCAGGGGAGGATGAACTAGTAATAATGTCTTCTACAACTAATCCAATCATTAGAAAAGAAGGAAATAAAGAATACGCTTTTGTACAAAATCCAGAATACGCGGAATATCACGAGGCATACGCAAAAATGCAAAAGGAACATCCCTTTAACCCGGCGGATTTTCTTAAATAATTTATTGTTAATTTTTTATTTGTAATCCTTTACTTACTTGTGAATATTAAATTAATTTACTGGTTTATGTTGTTTACTTATCAGGGTGTTATTAGGTAAACGAGGTTATAGTATAGTGTGTTTATACAAGAATGTTGAAAAAAATGCGGACTTATTGTCACTTAGGACTGATTGAAGCAACAAAATGTCAGTGGTTTATTTATGTGTGTGTGAAATGGTGCTTTAGTTATTGTTCCGAGGTTACCACGGTACCAGCTTAAAAAAATGACAGGTATCCTTCAAGCATTCAATGTGCTTACGTTCTGCGTGTAAGTCTATACTTTAGCCAAATGCCATTTAGCGCTTGTCTACATGTAGCATAGAAAACCATGGCCTCTAGCCAAACGCCACTTTAGCGCTTGTCTACAGAGAGAGTAGAAATCAAAATGTATGGGGATGACACTGACAAGTGTCAAAATTTACGTCAATTCCATACAATTTGGTTTTCTACTCTACATGTAGACAAGCGCTAAATGGCATTTGGCTACAGCTGATGCAGCTATATATGGAATGTATATGCAGCTGTATATGCATATTATATGGAATTGACGGAAATTTTGACACTTGTCAGTATCATCCCCATACATTTTGATTTCTACTCTCTCTGTAGACAAGCGCTAAAGTGGCGTTTGGCTAAAGACACTGGTGCCACAGTTGTTGTTTCAAGTGACTGTGTCCACCTTTTTTTTATCGTTCTTGAATTCATATTGCATCAGTAATTTTACACCAATACGCAATGGCATATCGTAACGTAATGAGTCCTATTTATAATGGGCAGAGAGTTTTTGAGAGACAGTGTGAGATTGGAGGCCGCATCTAGGTAAACCATAGATATTATCATAACAGTGAGGTAAACGTAGTGCAGGGCGCCCTCCAGCTATGTGAAGTGACAATATCTGAAAGGTAGCTAAAAGTAGTTGGATGAGAAGAGCTGGAAATCGATCTTACTGGCGGGGTATCGGAAAGACCAATGTTCAGCAGTGGATGAACACGGGCTGATGATGTTGATAAAAATGTTGATGATATGTTATTGACGAGATGTACTTTGTCCAACATAATGGCTGGCTCTCAGTGCTGCTGGCACAGCACGTCATGGCAATATTTTTAAAGATCAAAAATATATTTCAAAGATCAAAACACATTTCGTACAACTTGTAACACTTCTTTCATACCAAATTACAATTCGTCATTTACATTCATAAAGAACTTGCTAAATTGTTAACTAAAAATCAAGATGCACCAGCTTCTGAGACAATAGCAGACATCTGGTTTAACTGGTACATAGCAAATAATTTTAATAAGTTGTTCATCAATCAAACAATCATGTTAGAAAAATATCATGATCCACAAACAATCATAAATATTAAATCTTCTTAACACTAAAATATTTCTGGTACTTCAATCAATCAATCATTTATTTATTTAAGACATCAATGGTCCACTGTGTTAGTAACAAAATCAAAAATACGAAACATCTTTACAAAAATATGTTAGTAAGCACATTAAACAGACAAAACAATACAGAAAACAAATACAAATTAAATACACACACGGAAAACAGACACATGCAGTATGTTGGTACTAAAACAGACATACTAAAGCACTCTCGGTGGTATATGCACTGAAATATGCCTGTCGCAGCAATTCCTAATTATGAGACAATCATGTCTCTGCGCTGTCATTGCCAGGACATTGTTGGAACTAGCCCGTACTCCGCGTACGAGAGCGCCAGCTCGCTTACGCATAGTCGCATGAAAGCCGTCAGTATGCGCCTCCATGAATATTCCCGACGCGCTACAACGACAGGATAGCCCCAACACTGCCCTGAACACATTATTATATTGGACGCGGAGTGTACTGTAACAAGTTTGACTATAATCAGCCCATAAGCTGCACGAGTACAGTGAAGTACAGTACGCTTTAAAAAGCGCAACTTTAACCCCCCTCGAACATTGCGCAAACCTACGGGCGAGCATATTTGCTCTAACGGACAATGCCCTACGCTCCCTTTCCATGTTAGCATGATCCCTAAGGTCCGTGGTGAGTATATGCCCCAGATATTTAAAACTGTCAACACGAGCAAGATGGATACCATTTAACTTAACCTGTGGCACACTACTCGGACATCTCGCCCCCACCGCCTCAAACACCATGTACTGACTCTTCTTAACATTGTATATTAAACCGTGGCCACCTGCATACTCCTCGCACGTCCGTATTAGCCGTCTCAAACCACACACCGAAGCACTCAGTAGCACCATGTCGTCCGCGTAACTTAGGTTGTTGACACACACAACATCAATGTGGCAGCCGACATGCTGACTACTAAGCTCTGCTATCAGCCCGTTGATGTACAGGTTGAAGAGGGTTGGGGAAGTCAAACCACCCTGCCTCACTCCGCACTCGAGTCGATATGGATCCGACATTGCTCCCGCCCACCTAACACTATTGAGCTGGTGCTCATACGAATATTGAATCATGTTAACAAATTGCAGAGGCAAAGCTATGCTTTTCAGCTTGTCCCATAAAAGGTTATACCCTACAAGATCAAACGCCCTAGACAAATCGAGGAAGCATGCATACACAGGTGTTTTACGCTCGATATAGTATTTCACGGTGTGCTTTAAGCACAGTATAGCACTTTCAGTAGAAAGCCCAGGGCGAAACCCGAACTGGTTGTCATGTATTCTGATGTATTTATTTAATTGCGTGTTGAGCAAACCATCAAACACCTTTGCAATAATAGTGGCAAGAGAAATAGGCCTGTAGTTACTTTTATCAGAGAGATCACCCGTTTTATTTTTCACTAGAGGCACTACCACTGTTTTCGTGAAATCCGCGGGCAAGTAGGAGTGGCTCACACATAGCGAGTAGAACATGGCCAAAACCCTAGAAACGTGAGGCCCAGCATACCGCAGGTGCTCAACGCTGAGCCCATCATGGCCCGGAGATTTACCTGTCGACATATTTCTTAGAGCCTTAGTCACATCTTTGGCCCGGTAAAGAGTAGCGCTAAGCGGAACCCTTAAGTTGTTTCGCTCAGCGCCACTGTCCACATCCCTCGGGTCTAACAAAGATTTCACAGGAACTGATCTCTGAAAAGATTCGCTATCGCTACAGAATCACTTACACCTTCGACGCTAACGGGAAGTCCAGATCGCGCATTAAATCTGCCTGTACTCTTCCAAAAACCGCGGAAATGTCCCTTACTATGTTTTGCAGCAAGCGCATCCATTTTTATTTGGTCCTGGTGTTTTTGGCACCATTTTAATCGCGACTTAAATACCCTTCTGCTATCGCGCATTTCTTTGTATGAAATACCCGATTTGGGTCTACCACACATTATCCACATATTAAATTTAGCTCTAGCCTCCCCGTGAGCCTCGCCGACGCACGCGCTCCAGCCCGCCAAGCGGGAGCCACCCCCACAATTACGAGCACCCCCCCGGCCCGCCAAAGCGGCAGCATCACGAAGAGCAGTAACTATATCAGCATAAAGCTTATCCAGGACATGCCTGTGGCCACGGCTTAGTCCGGACACAACAGTTCCCTGGCAACACTCCACTGTTAATGTCACTAACTTTTATGAAACTATTTGTCAAGGGTAAAGGATTTATTTATAAGGAGACAAACAGCTCATGCTAGAATTGCGCCTTCTGATGAACAAAAAACCGATTAGTAGATAAGTTGCAAATAAAATTGACATTTTCAGACCTTCACAACACTAGTAAAGAGTTATCTATGGAGTCTAGTCTCTGACATGTCAATTGTCAAAGTCAACTTCAATTCGAGTTGCATGCTTGGTTTGTCAATATTTTGTTTTTGTTTTCGTTCATATCTTATTTATTACCGAATAAAATAAAAATATAACATCATGTAATGAAACAATCAAAGATTTAATTAATAAGCAACCAGAATCTTATTTCATATTAATTATAGTTCTTGAAACGCTCCACGCCGCACAAATGTGAGTAATATAAAAATTACCTAATTTGTTTCTTTAACTACTTTGATCATAATTATTATTGTAATATACTTTATTGATTGTGGGACATAATGAGGGCTCACTGACTGAGAATCACTTATCACCTTATCAGTGTTGTTTTACAGTTTTAGTTGCAAATTGCTATGGCGGAGGCAACCAACACAGTGTTCATAGATGTATCATCCCCATCGCAGTTTGTGATGGCCAACACAACGATGACCGACACAACGATGACGGACACAACGGAACATCATAAACATGATGTAGAGAGTGTAGAGCCAGATAAGTAAGTTGTTTACTAAAAATCGTGGGTTACTCACTTGAATATACTGAGAAAATCTACGACTTTCGAGCTACAGAGGGGCTCTTCCTGTTCCTCATGAGCAACGTGCGCGGTCGCCGCGATGTCACGCATCCTAATGCTGCTAGAGCTTTTCTTAGTATACTCATGTGAGAATCCTGTGGTTTTTAGTTAATAATAATATGTCTCACGATACTTATTATTAAAACAACGTAAGTTGTTCTTTAGGATAAGCTGGGAAACGAATGAGCAGACGGATCACCTGAGGGCTTAATAAGAGTTTGTTTTACATTTTTTAACCTGTTAAAATACCGCACCCTAAATTTGCTCATAAAAAGTAATCTCTAAACAAAGGAAATAAGGTCTATAATATATAATGTAGTTAGTGGAGAGCAGTCATCGGTGACCGCTTGGGGATTCAGCAGTTAAGGAGATCGAAACGAGACTGCTATGCACTCTGAGTGGCTGGCTCCAAAGCGGACCAATCAGAGCACTGAAGGCAGTCTTGATTGTCGAAACAAACTTGATATTAGAAGTTAGAACTTAACCCATATATCCCCAAGCGGTCACCGGTATCCGCTCTCCACTAACTACATTATAGACCTTATTTCCAATGTTTAGAGACTACTTTTGTATGAACTAATTTAAGAGTTGATTTTCAACGGGTTAAAGTAC